TTCCACTGCTCCAGGGCATATACGCAAAGGAAATGAAATCGCGGTCCAGTGGCCTGCGGCCTCCCGCGCACCGGCAGCGTCCCCCAAACCAAGGCACGGTGTCACCTTGAACTGTCGTCTCCTGCCCAAGTCTGGAGCCTCTGCCGAAGACCCAAGGCAGGGGGCAGCTTTCAGGGCTCCTTGGTGGGCTCCTGTGGACGGCTGGACGCTCTTAGGCGCGTGTCCATTACGGCGTCACAGGTGTCCCAGGCCACTGCATCGCGGTGTCGCATGCCCCGTGCATCGCGGCGCTTGAATCTGGCCAGTTCACACACCTGACCCTTCAGACGGATGCTTCTGACCTGGAGAACGTCCTCTGGGGTCCCCCGACCCGGGGTGGCCTGCAGGAGCTGGATACCTTGTCACCAGCACCCCCAGGGTTTGCCAGGGCTGGGTACCTAGTAACCAGCACCTGGGTCCTTTGCAAGGACTGGGTACCTAGTAACCAGCACCTGGGTCCTTTGCAAGGACTGGGTACCTAGTAACTAGCACCCCTGGTCTGCAGGAGCCGGATACATTGTGGCCAGCACCGCTGGGTGGTCCGCAGCAGCTGGACACCTGGGAGCCGGCTGGACGCACCCTGTCACCGTGGACGTCTGTAGCTCGCTGCTTTGGGGACGCCTGGCACTTCGCAGCCCTGGACGCTCCTCTGAGCATGTGGCTGCAGACCCCCAGGTCCCGGCCACTGTCCTCTCTGCCTGTCGGAGACGGGCCTTGGCAGAGGCGACGTGAGGGACAGGGGCTGTTGGCCTCTCCCTGTGGCCTGTCCCTTGGCTAATGCTCTTTAAAACCCTGTGGCCGGCCTCGCGCGCCCCGTGCCCCGCGCCCTGCTTCTTGGTAAGGAGGACAGGAGGCTAGCCATAGAGCCCCCCAGCCTGGGTGGTTAGATCAGCAGAGGTCTATCGCCGCTGCCCTGGAGGATGGAGGTCCGAGGTCCAGGTGTGGGCAGAAGTGGCTCCTCCTGACCCTCTCCCCTGGGCTGGCTGCCGCCATCTTCTCCCTGGGTCCTGCCGGGGCGTCCCTCTGTGTGTGTCTGTGACCTCATCTCCTCCTCTACGAGGACCCCCTTCCTGCTGGGCCAGGGCCACCCTGGGACCTTGCAGCCCCTCCATCCCCTCTGCAAAGACCCATCTCCACACACACAGGCACGTCCCAAGGTCCTGGGGCCAGGGCCACCCTGGGGACCTCACTGCTCCTCCATCCCCTCTGCCAAGACCCCTCTCCACCCACACAGGCACGTCCCAAGGTCCTGGGGCCAGGGCTGAGCCGAGGGGCCTTGGGGACACCCAGCTCCCTGTGCACTCGGACTCCATCCAACAGGCCTGTCCCTCCCCCCTGGGTCTGGAGGGGACACTTTTCGGGGCTGCAGACACCCGACACCCACACGGAGACCCTAGGGAGCCCCCTTCTCCGAGTTTAAAAGGAGCCCCCTATAAAATCGATCCCAGGGGAGCCTCGCTGTAACCCACGGTCACCCAGGTCCCCGGCGAACCTCCCGCGGCCACATGCTGAGTACACGGAGGGAGGGGACACTCTTTTATTTTAAACGTGTTGAAAATGCATTTTTTAAAAAAAAAATATGTGAAAGTCCCCTCGGGAGCGGCTCCACCCCGGGCCCTGAGAAAGAGGAACCCTCCCGGGTTTCGCAAGGTCCCTGCCCTTCAGCCAAACCCAGGGCCACAGGTGGCCGGCCGTCAGCCCCGGGGACCCGTCAGGGGACAGGCGCTGACCTCCGAGCTCATGCAAACCGGCTGCCTCCCCTGGGCCAGGCAGGAGGGTCAGGGGACATTCAGAGAAGCCCCCGAGGCCAGCGCCCCCCGGGATCCCACTGTCCTGTGGCCCTCGTAAGTCAGGGGACCCCGGTGGCTGTGGGCGGGAGGCCCAGGGGACAGGAAGGATCCCGTCCCGTCCCGAGGAGCCCGGTCACCAGCGCCTTGGGCACGGGGACCCGGGGACACCTGTGTTTTGCTTTTGGTTTTCTGTTTTGGGGACGAGGGGAGGTCCCTTCTGGTTTCCGTGATTCAAAACAGTCGGCGTCGATGGAGCTGAAAATGTGCTGGCCCCGGGGTCCAGAGGTGGCCCCGTCTGTGGGATTTTGGGGAATCCAAAGGGGACACACGTCCCCCAGAACATTCTCATCACCCCAAAGGAGACCCCAGTCCCCATTAGACAGGGTCTCTGCCTCAGGTCCCAGGAACCACCAATGACCTTCCTGTCCCCGTGCGCTGGCCTGCTCCGGGTAAATCACGTGTGTCCCTGGGTGTCTGGTGTCTTGCTGAGCCGCACATCCTTGAGGCCCATCCAAGTGCTAGCAGGGGACAGCTCCGTTCCTCTTCCTGGGCTCCTCTTCCTGGCTGAGTAATATTCCACAGTGTGACAGACACATCTGTGTGCCTGGGCACCCCGGTGGACACCGCCGCTGTGGACATCCAGGCACAGCTCTGCGCTGACGTCGGTCATCGGTTCTGGGGGGGCGGGGCAGGAGGGATGCTGGATGGCCCGTCTGTCACTGTGAACTCCACCGTTTCAGGGTGACGTGTCAGGGTTGGGGGAACGGCCAGCCATGTCCACAGTGGACGCACGTTTGCCTTCCCGCCAGCACACGAGGGTTCCCTTCCCCGGGTCCCCGTGTGTCCTCTGATCTCAGCCACCTCCGTGGGCACGAAGTGGCCTCTCGGGGCCACTGCAGCAAGTCCATCACCTCCTGCCTTTCTGCCAGGGTCAGTGACCACTGCACTACTCAGTGAGAGGCGCGAAACCATGTCCACTACTGTGCATGTAAGGATCTCCATGGGTATGCATGATCCCCATGGGTAAGCATGTGATGATCCCCACGGGTATGCATGTGATGATCCCCATAGGTGTGCATGTAATGATCCCCACGGGTATGCATGTAAGAATCCCCATGGGTATGCATGTAATAATCCCCATAGGTATGCATGCAATAATTCCCATAGGTATGCATGTAATAATCCCCATGTGTATGCATGCAATAATCCCCATAGGTATGCATGTAATAATCCCCATAGGTATGCATGCAATAATTTCCATAGGTATGCATGTGATAATCCCCATATGTATGCATGTAACAATTCCCATGGGTATGCATGTAATAATCCCCATATGTATGCATGTAATAATCCCCATGGGTATGCATGCAATAATCCCTATAGGTATGCATGCAATAATCCCATAGGTATACATGTAATAATCCCCATAGGTATGCATGTAGTAATTCCCATGTGTATGCATGCAATAATCCCCATGGGTATGCATAAAATAATCCCCATAGGTATGCATGTAATAATCCCCATGGGTATGCATGCAATAATCCCCATAGTTATGCATGCAATAATCCCCATAGATATGCATGCAATGATCCCCACAGGTATACGTGCAATAATCCCCATGGATATGCATGTAATAATCCCCATAGGTATACATGCAATAATCCCCACGGGTATGCATGCAATGATCCCCACAGGTATGCATGCAATGATCCCCACAGGTATGCATGCAATGATCCCCATTGTTATGCATGCAGTGATCCCCACAGGTATGCATGCAATAATGTGGGAACAATCACATCCTCCCAATAATCTATAATAATAATAATAATCTATAATACAATGGTAGTGACGTCAGGTATGGCTCTGTCACACACAATCACCTGCCAGCCAGGCTGGTAAGTCATATGTCTATCACACGCACACTTCAGAGTTCAGGTGCAGTTTGCAGGTGACGTGTGCGTAAGATGCACAGCACACTCATTGCCCGTAAAATGCCACACGGTCCAGCCTCACAGGGGACGTGCGTGACGGGCATGACTGGCGTCCTGGATTGTAGATCTGTGCCATCCCGTGCCTCACGGACAGCGTCACACATGATCCAGTTCAGACAGACGCAGTGAGTGTGCGGGGTTCATGAGCAGGTGACATCCATGATGTCATAGAGCAGAACACAGGCCCGTGTCACCCAGGCCACCTGCTCTGTGGTCTATCAGTTAGGGACCCTGGTCCAGCCTCTGCCGCCCAGGGTGGGAGCGACCTTGTCCTCTGGGAGCCTGGCACCCGGGGCAGCCCCAGCACCCGCCGAGGGGACTGGCTGTAGGAGAAGCCCAACTGTCTCCAGGTGCAGATGGATGCATCTGGTCCTGACGGCGGCTGCCTCCGGCTAATCTTGTCACACCACCGCCTCCGTGAGATCTGCAGCCCAGACGCTGTATTGGTCAACCCTTCCGTCTGAGGCTGTCACCGTTAAGCCATAAGGGGATGTCACTCTGAACGGCCAAGAGGGCGAGGCCACCCACTGGCGGAGGGATGGAAAGACGGCCGTTCGTCTGTGGAGTGGAATACTACTCAGCCACGAAAACAGAGGCATTCCACACCGGTTCCATTGGAAAGCAGGATTCGGGGGAGTGACAGAAAGCTGGATCCCTCGCTGTCAGGGGGCTGAGGGGGACAAAGGAAGAACGGGGTTAACCGTGGCGCGGTTCAGGGTTGGCGTGAAAATCTTGTAGGGTGGGTCGACTGCGCCCCAGTAAAGCTGTTTTTCTTAAGCAAATAAGAACAGGGGGGCCCCCCTGGTGCTCGCCAGGCCACGAACCCTGGGCCTCCTCTTGCAAGATCTTGCAAAGTGGCCCCGAGCGAGCCCCGTGGGGGGGGGGGGGCTGGGGCCGGGGCTGCACCAGCTGCGCCCTGCGCGCTCCGGGGGCCTCCGGCTGCCGTGGCGACGCGGCCAACCGTTAATCTCGTTTTGCAGAGTTGCCTCCCCTCGGTCTGGGCCTCCGCAGCTGCAAACCGCAGGCGCCTCGGTTTCAGGGAAGCGGAGGCCGTTAGAGCTGATTTCCTGATTAATGGTCCGTGCAACCCGCCGAGCCGCGCGCGCACGCGCGCGCCCCTACCCAGGCCCTGACCGCTGCCTTCCTGGGCCGGCCGCCGGGGACCGCTCAGTGCAGAGCCAGCACTGCGGACCGAGGAGCTCGGGGTGCTCGGGGGAGGGTGCAGGGGGCCGCCCACCAGGTGCCAGGTGCACCCAGAACAGCCGACGGCGGTGGAGGCGGGGCGCGCTGGGGCAGCAGATGCCCTGCGCTCTTGCTCCTTTCTTGCATCACCTGCGCGCCCCGCGGCTCTGGCCTGGGTTCAAGGGCGCGTGGTATTTAAATGTGCACGAGGCAGAGGCGTCCAGCTGCGGGGGGCGGGGGGGTTCTCCGGCGTCCCCAGCTCTGCGCGCAGAAATGGAGACAGCAGCCCCAGGCCCCTCGCCCTGAGCGCGCGGCTCCCTCGCCCGTATTTTTCCAGAGCCCAACCTGGGGACTGGACCCAGGGGTCGCTGTACCGCCCCTTTTTTGGTATCTTAGTTGCAGACTGCGTCTCCCCGAGTGGCTTAGCTCCCCACCACGTTGCTGAGGCTGGCCTCCAACTTGCAAACCTCCTGCCCCAGCCTCCTGAGCCCCTGGGATGACACGGGTGCAGATCTTTTCCCCCAAGGTGTGCGGGGAGCTTAGAACGGGAAGCACCCAGATGGCCGCGGGTTGGACTCTCTGTCCGGCACCCACTCCTCGGGCGCAGGTGCTTCCTGCTGATAGATTCGCTCGCAGGGTGCGCCCAGGGCCAAAGGGCCAACGCCCGCTCTCGGCGGCCCTGAGGGTCCCTGGGGCTGGTCCTGGGAGCAGAGGGCGCCCCAGGGCCGCCCGGGAGCCCATGCAGGGTCTGTGCTGGACGCGGAGACCCCGGCCCCTGCGTGCATTTTAACAGGCTCCTTCTGCAAATCCACGTGCGCCCCGGTGGCTGGTCTGTTTGGTTTCACTTTCCTGCTTAACAGGGCCAAGGCCTTTTCCTCCATCCCCCGAGGCAGAGGGAAGGCGTGTGCCTCGGGACCCCTGAAATGACCCCCAGAGGGGCTTTGGGAGGCCCCTCGGCCGGATGGGCACAGAGAGCGTCCCTGTTCGGCTCCAGGCCCTGGCGTCCCCGGGCGGGTCCCTGCACCACTGAACGCAGGAGCGCGCGGTGCGGATTGTCCGGCCCCGAGGAGGTGGCCCTTGCAGATCAGCGAAGAAAAGAAAGGGCGGACACTTGAGTCCAAGTCGGGTGGCGTGGTCAGCAACCCCCGGGGGGGACCGGTCACTCAGCTGGACAGGCAGGAAACTCAGCAGGGGCTGAGGCTGCAGAGGTGCTGGACGCGGAGATCTTCTCCAGGGGACGCCAATGTTTGGCCTTAGATCCTTGGAAGGACCTGATCCCCCGTGGACAGAGACCTGTGGAGACCGGTGATAGATAGACACGTGTCTATATAGATGATTGACAGGTGTGCACCTAGATGACCACCGGGGAGGTTTCTAGACAAGTGGCCGATGGATAGATGCAGCCTTACACAGGGTTCCTTTGTCTAGGGGGAAACCTCAGACTTTGTTCCTCGGCCCTTCGACTGATTGGACGAGGCCCACCCCCACCGGATTTTCGACTTAAGTCATCCCAGAAACACCCTCCCGGGAGGGTCCACTCGCCGTCCCTGCGCCTCGTGGACACTGACCCCGACTGGCCACGGGGCTCAGCACCCGCGATGGAACCTCCCCGCAGGGTTAAACAGAGACCCCCCAGACAGACATCTGGGTTTCCCCGACTCTGACGCCCCGCATTCGGGTTGCATAACCCGTCCCCCCCCGTCCCCCCAAAGAGGTGAGCATATTTGGAAAAGGTGACAGGAACTCATTTGCAAAGTCAAGAAAGGGAACCAGATACAAGCTGGGTGGCAGATGGCCCTGTGGAAGCAGAGCCGGGTCCCCCGTCGGCTCCGCCATTTCAGCAGCAGCATCGCGGACGGTAAGTCCCAAGCCTTCTTCTGGGGCCGCTCGGACAGTATCCACCTGCCCTTCACTTTGGGGGACCCGGTTGGGGACACGCTGATGGGTTTCTAAAACGCCCCAGAGACCCACACGGGGTGCGTTAGGTCACCTAAATGACCCCCCGAGGGGCTTTGGGAGCCCCCTTGGCGGGATGGGCACAGAGAGCGTCCCTGTGCACACAGACTTATCTGTGCCAGATCCTGGAGCGTCCCTCCACCATTTCCTCCAACCTCCACATGCCCCCAAACCAGGGAGTTGGGGACAGACACGGGGGCACGTGCCTGAGATCCCAGCTACTCAGGAGGCTGAGGCAGGAGGACCACACGGTGGAGGCCAGCCTCGGCACCTTAGCAAATAAAAAATCTAGGCCGGGTGCGGTGGCCCACGCGGTCACCCAGCGGCTGGGGAGGCTGAGGTGGGAGGCCACAGCGAGGCTCTAAGCGGCTCAGGGAGGCCCTGTCACTAAATAAGATGCCCAATATGGCTGGGGACGGGGCCCAGGGGGTGGGGGGCCCCGAGTTCAACTCTCAGCCCTAGAGAAGGAAAACAAAAAGTGGGTTTTGTTTTAGTTTTGAGGCTCCGGATGGGACCCAGCGCCCTGTGCTTGGTAAGGACATCTGAACCTCAGAGCCACCGTCCCAGACCCCGAGATTCTGTGGGACTTAAAATCCATCACAGTAAATGGGTCTTCGGGGGTGGGGGAGGGGAGAGGCCACAGGGACCCTAATTTGCCTTCCCCTGGGTGGCCCCCCGATGGCAGCTCCCAGGTGGAGCCAGGTGCCTGGGTGACGGGCAGTCCCTGGGGCAGCCGAGCCACCCCTCTGGACCAGCCCCCACCTCCGTGTAGCCAGGCAAATGCGTCCGGTCTCCCGGGACCCTGATTCGGCGGGGGGACCTCGATTTGACCCTGTGCAAATGAGGAACCAGCCTGAGAGCCAGGCCGGCCTCTGGGACATCCCTTCCCACCCTGGAGGTGACCCAGAACACCTCTCCCGGGCTTGGAAGCGAGGTCGCTGGGCGATGTGCAGCGTCCTCGGCGACCCAAGGTGGAAGCCAGCGCAGCGTCCCTCACGACACGCTCCCTCAACTTCCAGGGAGAAAGACATAGAGAAGGAGCAAAGGAGCTTCCAGGTGCTCAGAGGCCTGAGTGCCAAGGGGCAGGTGGGGCGCCAGGTCCCTTGTCCCTGGGGAGCAGGCAGGGCCCCTTCTGGCATGTTCTCCGTGACAGTAAAATGCACTGGGACACGTCTTCCATAAATGGATTGTCACTTCTCCTTCTGGTTGGACGTGATGTACAATCACCCGGGTCCTGTGGTCATATATGCACCCGGGGTCACCCTGTCCCATTCATTCTCCTGTCCTTCCTCCCCCTCCCCCTCCCCTCCCTTCAGTCCCCTCTGCCTAGTCCACCATACCTCTATTTGTCCCCTAGTCACCCTCTTACTGTGAGTTAGCATCGGCGTATCAGGGAGAACGTTTGTCCTCGGTCTTTTTGGGGACTTGCTTAGCTCGCTGGGCCTGGTGTCTCCCAACTCCATCCGTTTACCAGCGAACGCCATCATTTCATTCCTCTTCGTGGCTGAGTAATATTCCACGGCGGACGCGTACCACATTTTCTTTACCCATTCACCGGCTGAAGGGCCCCGAGGTGGCTCCCTGGGGACGGGGCTCCCCTGTCCCTGGGCCCCTGTGGCGCGCGCCCTGCCTGACCCTTTCTGCGTCCCTCCCCTTGCAGGCCCGCGAGGATGAGCGCGCGTCCGCGGCGGCGGTGATGGGGCCGGTGGACATGAACGTGAGCGGCCCGGACAACGCGACGCTGCAGATGCTGCGCAACCCGGCGATCGCCGTGGCGCTGCCCGTGGTCTACTCGCTGGTGGTGCTGGTCAGCATCCCGGGCAACCTCTTCTCGCTGTGGGTGCTGTGCCGCCACATCGGGCCCAAGTCGCCGTCGGTCATCTTCATGATCAACCTGAGCGTCACGGACCTGATGCTGGCCAGCGTGCTGCCCTTCCAGATCTACTACCACTGCAACGGCCACCACTGGGTGTTCGGCGAGGTCCTCTGCAACGTGGTCACCGTGGCCTTCTACGCCAACATGTACTGCAGCATCCTCACCATGACCTGCATCAGCGTCGAGCGCTTCCTGGGCGTCGTCCACCCGCTCAGCTCCGCGCGCTGGCGCCGCCGCCGCTACGCGCTGGCCGCCTGCGCGGGCACCTGGGCGCTGCTGCTGGCCGCGCTCTTCCCGCTGGCGCGCACGGACCTCACCTACGAGGTGGACGCGCTGGGCATCGTCACGTGCTTCGACGTGCTCAAGTGGACCATGCTGCCCAGCGTGGCCATGTGGGCCCTGTTCCTCTTCACCATCTTCGTGCTCCTCTTCCTCATCCCCTTCGTGGTCACCGTGGCCTGCTACACGGCCACCATCACCAAGCTGCTGCGCACGGCCGACGGCGGCCACGACCAGGGCCAGCGGCGGCGCGCCGTGTGCCTGGCCGCCGTAGTGCTGCTGGCCTTCGTCACCTGCTTCGCGCCCAACAACTTCGTGCTGCTGGTCCACATGGTCAGCCGGCTCTTCTTCGGCCGCAGCTACTACCACGTGTACAAGCTGACCCTCTGCCTCAGCTGCCTCAACAACTGCCTGGACCCCTTCGTCTACTACTTCGCCTCCCGCGAGTTCCAGCTGCGCCTGCGCCACTACCTGGGCTACGGCCGCCTGCCCAGCGACAGCCTGGACACGACGCGCAGGGACAGCCTCTTCTCCGCCAGGACGCTCTCGGCGCGCTCCATGTCCGCCGGCCCCGGGGACGCGCTCGACGGCACCGGCCGGCCCGGCCTCAAGAGGCAGGAGAGCGTCTTCTGAGCCTGCGAGTGACCCTTGCAGGAGGTCCAGCGGGGACACGCACCCCCCACGGCCACCCTGGAGGTGTGCAGAGACCACCTGCTCCCTACGGGGGGAGCCACCAGGGGTCCCCAGGCCGCTGTGCCATGGAGCCTTGACCCCCTGCGTCTTCCTGCTCAGGGAACCAAACCCCAGCGGTAGTGGACACTGCGTTGGCCGTTGGTCTGCAGATGCGCAGGACGCCCGAGGATGCCGGCCCTTGAAGGGTGTTCTTGGTTGGCCAAGGGGCTGCCCAGCCTGTCCCCAGCTGCAGAGGAGCATTCAGCCAGCTCAGCACCCCCTCCCCCGACTCTGCAGGCCGACACCTCCTTGGGGACATTGGGGAGGTGACCCTAGTCTGCAATCCCGGGGTCCCCTCCCTGCACCGGGTCCCTCCGGCCGGCTGCGCGCGGCCATCTGGGCGGGTTTCGTGTGTGGTCACGCCGGCCACACGGCGGTGCCGGCAAAGGGACCAGGTGACCCTGAGGAGCTACGGGGATCCTTGGGGATGACGTCCCCACACACACCCCCCTGCAGGAAGGAGCCGACTCCCGGGGCTTCCGAGAGGCTGCTCAGGGACCCTGTGGTCAAGTCACCGGCGGCGAAACCCAGACCGGTCAGGACCGAGCAGCGGAGACCACGGTGGCTTCACGGAGCAGCTTGCTCGGGGACTTGGATCCTGCACATTGTCACCGGGAGGTGCCTCCAGGGCTGGAGGCTTCTCAGCCACAGGCGGGCACCTGGCTGGACCCCGCATGCCATTTGGGGACCAGACACCAGTGAATAGCGTCCTCCTCCATTCAGGTCTGTGGGTACCTGGTGTGGGAACAGGGTCTCTGCAGAGGTGGTCAGTGGAGGGTCCTGAGATGGGCTCCTCCTGGGTCAGGGGGCCTCATGCAATGGCCGTGTCCTCCCAAGAGACAGAGGAGGGGACACAGACCCAGAGGAGGAGCCCGTGGAGACGGAAGCAGAGACTGCAGTGAGGGGCCACCAGCCCAGGGCCACCTGGAGCCCAGGAGCTGGACAGGCAGGAGGAGCCCCCTGGAGCCCTGGAGGGGGCTCAGCCGGGGACCCTGGTCCAGCCTCTGTCCCCCAGGGACACATCACCCCTTGGACACTGAAGGTTCCCAAAGCCACATCCCTGACAGGCCACCATCTCCATCCTGTGACAGACCCCGCACCTCCCGAGGATGATCCCGTGGGTCCCAGAGCGTGGGCCCGCGGCGGTTTTTCCTGGCTGTCCCCGAGCACAACCTAGAAAGTGACACTGAGTCAGACACGTCGAGGGTGGAAACCCCGAGCCAGCAAAATGGTCCCTGCGCGGGCTGTGGGCGTTTCGGAGGCAAAGAAAAAAAAAAAAATCTACGAAAAACCTCAAACCACCAGCTCAGAGCCAAGCCCAGGAGCCTCAGGTCCTGCGTCCTGCGGAGAATTCAAGACCCGGTGACATCAGCAAATCTCTGCAGCTTGCGTCTGTCCCCTGGAGCACACCAGACCTGCAGCCCTCGTGGACAGAGGGACAGGGCAGATCCAGCTTTTCTCTGGATGCTCAGGGCTGCCGACCCCCCTTTGCCGTGCCTAGGAGCCACGTCCAGGTCCCCCGATGTGACTTAGGCTCCGGAGTCTGCGGCTCCTGCCACCTGAGCTGTGCTCTGTGACATGTCCCGAGTTCCAGGGTCGACGTGGCTTTGCATTGAGCATTTTAATCCTATTGACGTAATTTGTGTTTTCTGGATTCTCGTCCCCTCGGTCCCCGTGCCTGAGGCTCGGACACCCCAAAGAATAGAGGGGTGTCCACAGCTGCAGAGACTCGGTCCCCGTCACTCTGTCACTTGTGGACAGTGGAATCTTGATTGCTGTCACGTGCATCCAAGATGGACCAGGACCGCGTCTCGGGCAGGAATGAGGACAGGGGACACCGAGGAGGGCCACCGGTTGAACGAGGGTCGTTAGCTTGTCCTTCAGGGCAGGACGTCAGGACCCCAGGGAAGTCCCCATCGGTGAGCTTTGCCCGTGGGTCAGCGGGGTCACCCCCAGGGACAGGCACGGGGCCATCTTTCAAAGGAAGCAGAGGTGCCCAAGAGACCCAAAGGGACATGATGTCCGCCGTCCCAGATCCCAAGAGTGGTGACGCTAGGCTGGTGCAGAAGCCAACCCCAGCGCCCCCCGGGGAGTCCTGGGCTGGACTTTGGTTCTGATCTAAAGTCCATGGACCAGTGTGTCCCGGAGGCCGCCAAGACCCTCCGCCATTTTGGATTTTCTCTGGAGAAATGGGAAGATCTCTCTCCCGGGGACGAGGACAAAGATCCAAGCCACCGGGCTCTCCTCCTCCTCCGCGCCCCTGGGCTCGGGGGTCGGGCACTTGGAGTGGCCGGGATGACCCAGCCCCAGGTCAGCAGCAGGGGACCGCCAAGAGGGCACCTCCAAGATCTGCTCTGGGAGGCTGTGGACACCGTGGTGAGGGCACTTCATGAGGTGGGGCACGTGGCTTCAGGTCCCCCCGCCCTGACCCTCAGGCAGATCTGACCTCCCAGAGTGCCCGCCCGTGGCCCTGCGGTCACTAAGATTCCCACCCCGTGCCCCACAACAGGGATCCTCCCGAAGCCTTAGCAAAAGCAGATGCGCTGACCCTCATCTCCAGCCTCCCCTCCCTGGCTGCTGGGACCCACCTGTCTGTCCCCCACCTATTGTTCCCTTCAGGGGGCTGGAAAGGACAGAATCCCCTTCCACTGGACGGCAGGACTGTCTTGCAGGGCTAACAGCAGCGCCTTGTGCATTTCAGCCACAACAGGGGGTCCGGAATGTCCTCACCACAAATGACCTATAGTTGAGAGGATGGAAGGGTAGCTGTCCTGTGTGTCCTGATGACAGAGGGCACATGTGCGTGCCTGGATGGAGGCACCGCCTGGTACCCCATGAATACACCCGGTGAGCCCACGGCAGGAGTCAGGGCCCCTCCGGGTGGGTTTTCAGGAAGGTGGACTTCAGGACTGGCTGGCTCAAGGAAACAGAGCCACAGGAAGGACGACTGGACGGGAACTCAGGTGGGTCTCCTCCCTCAAAGCCAGGAGGGTGCACTGCTCTGGTGGCCTCCCCCGAGATACGTCCACCCTAAAGCCACAATTATGTTCCAGCTGTATATCTTTTTACATGTTGAATATTAAACACCATGGTTGTTTTTTTTTTTTTTTCCCTCTTTATATATTCGGCTCCTTTCTGGCTTCTCTCAGGGGTTTGCAGTCTCGTACGGTTTTGCGCATTTTGCTAGATCTACTCCTGGGTTCGCTGCGCTTCATTAATTCGGGTTGGAAATCCTTCCCGCCACCCGCGGCCTGCACTGCGCAGGCCCCGCCTCCGCCGAGCATGATTGACATTCGCTCTCCTCCGGCGCCACCTGCCGGCCGCTAGCGGGTACTGTGCCCAGGCTGGTCGGAGGTCCCCACGTGCCCCGCAGGGACCTTCATCCCCACACCTGCCTCCCTAACCCTAACCCTAATCCCCCTCGCCCATGCGGACCCCCATCTCCACCCACCCGTCCCCAGCGTTCCTCCGAACCCTACCCAGGGCCCCACCGTCCCCTCAAAAGCTCCATTTGAAGGCTGCCCGTTGCGCTCGGGTCTCTCCACGCGTGCCACTGGGGCCACCTTGCACTCACCCACCGCGCCCGCGCGGGGCACTACCAACGCGCACGTTCCAGCCCCCCAGCGCGCGCAGGCACCCTCCACACCTATGGTCCCCAGGGCGGTCAGCGGGACCCCACCGGATCCTGGTGCGGTGCGCCCCTCTGCGCCTCGCCCACCGCTCATCGCGTTCCCCACCGTGCGCCCCCGCACCGCGCCCTCAGAGCCCCCCACATTCCCAGGACCCCGCTGCGCCTGCAGCACGAACCCCCCTCTCCAAGCTTCCCACTGCGCCCGCAGGGTCCATTCTCCACAGTGCCCACCACGCCCACAGGGCCCCCCAACCTCCGCCCTGCACGGTGCCCCACATTCCTAGGCTGCCCACCGCGCGAGGGGTCCCTCCAATTTCCACGTGCCCCGCCACGGCCGCAGGGTGCCCCTTTGCCCACGCGCCTGTGGGGGCTGCCCATTCTCCAGGAGCTCCGCGCGCCCGCAGGGTCTTCCCAGTCCCGGTGGCCCCGACAGGGGGTGCCCCGTGCCCACAGCCCTCAGGGAACCCGCCGGGCTCCAGAACACCACGTGGCCACCCCGCGCTTGGGGGCCCTCCCATTTCCGAGCCCTCCACTGCCCCTCGGGGCCCCCCATCTCCACGGTCCCCATGGTGACACGGAAGCCACTCCACCTCCACCCCCGACGGCTTCCGCGGGAGCCCCCCAGGGCCGCCGTCCACGGGTGTTGGCGGGGCCCCACCTCCACACCGTCCCTACAGGATCCCCGACCCTACGCCCGCCCGGCGCCCCCAAAGGGCCCCTAGGCTCCCGCCCCCACCGCGCCTGCGTGGCCCCGGGGTCCACGCCCCGTGCACTGTCCCCAGCGGGCGCCTAGCTTCCGGAGCCCTGGGCCCGGCCAGCTGCGCGCGCGGCCAGGGCGGGGCTCCGCTGTGCCGGGAACCCGGCGGCCGGCTGCAGCAGCGAGGCGTGGCGGGGGCGTGGCCTCGTCCCTGACAGGGAGGGGCCTGGGTGGTCTGTTGTCAAGGGCAACGAGTAGGAGGGGCGCGGCTTCGGATCTAGTAGGGGCGGGGCCAGAGCGAGCGGTTGCCGGGGAGGAGTAGCAGGGGCGTGGCCTCGTCCCTGACAGGGCGGGGCCTGGGTGGTCTGTTGTCAAGAGCGACAAGTAGGCGGGGCGCGGCTTCTGGTCTAGCAGGGGCGGGGCCAGAGCGCGCGGTTGCGGGGGGGGGGGGGGGGGGGGCGGGGGCGAGGAGTAGCAGGGGCGTGGCTTCGCCTCTGACAGGGGCGGGGCCAGGGCACGCTGTTGCTAAGAAGGAGGAGGAGTCCTGACGTGCCTTCCTCAAGGCGGAAGTCAGGCTCTCTTGCCGGGGGCGTGGCTGGAGGGGCGTGGCTTCTCCGGGGCGGGGCGGGGCTCCGGCGGCCTCTTCCTCTGCGGCGGTGGCTCGGGGCCGGCGGGTCGGGGCCGCGGTCCCGGGGCCGGCGGAGTCATGGCGCTGTGCCCGGTGATCGGGAAGCTGCTGCACAAGCGCGTGGTGCTGGCCAGCGCCTCCCCGCGCCGCCAGGAGATCCTCAGCAACGCGGTGAGGGCCGGCAGGGCGCAGGGCAGGGCACAGGGCAGGGCCGCTGACCCCGGGCTCCTGGGGACCCCGCGCAGTGCCACCGCCCGCCCAGCGACGCAGGACAGGGGCTAGTGACCGGGTCGGAGGGCCTCCTGACAACCGGCCTTAGTGACCAGGGGACCATAGGGACCAGAGGGAGGGTCCCATGACTACGTGAGGGTGACCTAGTGACCAGGCGACCCTAGGGACCAGAGGGGGGGTCCCAGTGACTGCCTGGGGGTGACCTAGTGACCAGGGGGCCCTAGTGACCAGAGGTGAGGGTCCCAGTGACTGCCTGGGGGTGACCTGGTGACCAGGGGGCCCTAGTGGCCAGAGGTGACTGGATGGGGGTGACCTAGTGACCAGGGGACCTCAGTGACCAGAGGTGAGGGTCCCAGTGACTGTGTGGGGGTGACCTAGTGACCATGGGGCCCTAGTGACCAGAGGTGAGGGTCCCAGTGACTGGGTGGGGGTGACCTAGTGACCAGAAATGGGGGGATTCTTGTGACAGGGGTCGGGGCCCTATTGGGGACCCTAGTGATCAGGGTGGGGGTCTTAGTGACGGAGGTGGGGTTTTCCCTAACTGATGGGGATGGGGACGAGTGACAAGGTGGGGCACATCCTAGTGACGCGGCTCTGGTGAACACAGCCCCCAGTAATAGGGACCAGGTGTCCTAGTGCCCAGGGGCTCTGTCCTGCTGAGGGGCCAGAGGCTGGGGAAGGTCCTCGTGGGGGAGGCCGGTCCCCTGGGGAGGTGGTCCTAGTGACTGCAGGGACCTGGTGACTGGGGTGACTGGAAGGCTTAGGGGCAACCCTAGTGACCCTGGGCAGGGCTTTAGTGACCACAGGGAAGAGGAAAAGGATCTTTTGTGGAGCATAAGGAGGGGGATCTGGGGATGGAGGGTCCCCAGGCCCCAGGGAAGGGGACCACATGGTCTTGGGGTTGGGGTCCAGGGTCTAGTGGCCTACTGGCCTGTGGGTGGGGTCAGTGGCTGCCCGGCCTGGGTGTCCTGGGGCAGTTGTGAGGGGGTCCAGAGCAGAAGTGGGTATTGGGAAGCTTGGTTTATGGGGAGAGGTGCTGGGGGCAGCGGCCAGTGCTGAGGGAGAAGGCCCTGGCCGAGGTTTTGGAGGAGGCAGGTGGGTAGACTGGGGGGGTGCTGTCCAGAGGTCCACCACGGGGACAGAGGGGGATGGGCCCGGCAGGTCCAGGAGAAATGGGTGGGAGGGACAGGGCAGAAGGTGGGGAGGGCCACATGCAGCCCCATGGGTGGGGACAGGAAGTCTCCACAGGGGATTTGCCCCCCTCCTGTTCAGGTCCACACCCTGTCCCCACTAGACTGGAGCTGCTATCGCCGAGTCCCCAGGGGCTCCCTCATAGATCCCTCGCCCGCAAGAGCCACCGTGAGTGGCCACCCCTTTTGCCCGATCTCATGGTGGGACACTGTGAGTTCACTGACCTTTGGGTATGCGAGAAGCCACCTGACTCCCCGGAGCTGCGACCCCAGGGCCCCAATCAATACTGCCCTGTGCCCTGAGGAGAGAGATCATGCAGCGTTTCCATGACTCTGTGTTATAAGGTGATGTATGGTTACGGCTAACAGGGTCATTAAGCCGGACGTGGTGACACACGTCTGCCGTCCCAAGAGCTCGGGAGGCTGAGGCTGGAGGATTGCAACCTGGAGGCCAGCTTCAAGAGCAGCTGGGCGAGGCCCTGAACAATTTAGCAAGACCCTGTGTCAAAATGAACACTACAAGGGGCCAGAGGGCTGGGGTTGTGGCAAGCACTGGGTTCGAGTCTCAGCACTGCATATAAATAAATAAATAAATAAATAAAATAAAGGGCTGTCAACCATTTTTAATTTTTTTTTTAAGAGGGGACGGGGATGTGTCTCAGTGGTTAAGCACCCGTGGGTTCAACCCTGGTACCACAAAATAAAGTAAGGCAAGACTATAACTCAGAATACGGAACCATGCATTTGATATATGGGCTGCTATGTGATTAGATTTACAGTTAGGAAATAGATTCAGTGCAGTTTATCTGTGCCTATAGGTTACAGTGCAATATGTTGTGGCTATTAATATACAGAATGTAGACTTATATTCATTTAGAATATAGAATGATTGTATCTCTAGAATTATCGATCTCTTGCTATGGGGTTACCATTGTAATTGGTATAATCATGTAAGATATAGAATCAGCGTAGTTGAGCTGTTACTGTGTGTGGTAATGTAACGTAGTATTGCATTTAAATATAATAGTGTCGTTCAGAATGCAGAATGAATGTCGCCCATCTGTAATTACGGGCCACTATGTAATCACTATTATAAATAATATGGGCTTTTGGGGTTTTTTTTTCTCAGTACTGGGAATTGAACCCGGGCCCGACATGCTAGGCAAGAGCTCTACCACTGAGCCACATCCCCAGCCCTTTTTATTTTTTATTTAGAGACAGGATCTCATTAAATTGCTTAGGGCCTCTCTAAGTTGCCGAGGCTGGCTTTGAACTCGTGATCCTCCTGCCTCAGCCTCCCGAGCCACTGGGATGACAGGCTCGCACCTGCGTGGTCCCAGCCATTTTTAAAGATACTTTTGAGACAGAGTCTTACTAAGTCGCTGAGGCTGGCCTTGAACTTGCCAGCCTCCTGCCTCGGCCTCCCCTGTGGCTGGCGTGACAGGTGAGTCGGCCACGCCCACATGATCATTTTGGACACAGAACTGATGTAGTGTGTCCATTGCTAGGAACTGTAATGTAAAGTGCTGTCCCATTGACTCTAGTGTGTCACTCAGGGTAGAGAATGACCGGGTGGCTCATAGGTAGGATAGTGTCACATGCTAGTTACTGTACTGCTGTCCTTTAGGACACAGAATCAGCGTGGCTGAGTGGTAGGTACCAGGAGCCACCATGTAACCATGACAGTTCCGGCAGTGCGTCCTCCTCGCCCAGCCTTTTCCAGCAGGTCCGAGGTCCCCAGCAGCTGGTGGCCCTAAATGACGGCTGAGCCACCTGACGGGCAGCTGGGGAGAGGGACAGAGCGCGGGAAGGTGCCCGTTTTCGGCAGACCCAGCCCTCCCGCCCCACCATCTGGGCCTGTGCGCTGCTGCGCCCTCGCGCGCGCTCCCCTGCCCCTGGCGGCCTCCGGCCCCAGACGCTCTTCGTGTGTTCCAGGGCCTGCGATTCGAGGTGGTGCCGTCCAAGTTCAAAGAGACGCTCAGCAAAGCCTCCTTCCCCAGCCCCTACGCCTACGCCATCGAGACGGCCAAGCAGAAGGCCCTGGAGGTGGCGCACAGGCTGCACCAGGCAAGCGGGCTGTCCTGCTCCCTCGCTGGGTGGCATTGAGGGACCTCGGGGCGCGCGGATGGGGCCGGTGGGGCGCGCAGTCGGCGCACGCAGCTCCGCACCGGGCCGTGGCAGGAGTGCGGCTGGCTCCTCTGCAGCCCTTAATGCAGGGGCACTCGACCAGTGAAACATAAAATAGGGCTGGGGGTGAGTTGGGGCCTCTCTAAATTGCTGAGGCTGCCTTTGAACTCGCGATCCTCCTGCCTCAGCCTCCCGAGCTCCTGGTGGGGGCTTGCACCCCCCACCAGGCTCAGTGTGGACATTTAGGGTACAGGAGGAATGCAGCGTCTCTGTTGTGGGGTGTTCTAGTGTGAGCTGCTGTTATAGTTAATAGTCAGCTGGTTTGGATACGCCATTAATATCCGTCTCTGTTAGTAGGAGACAGTGTTGCAGTGAACGTAGGACCGCAATCTCGGACATACCACGCGGGTGTCCACCGCCGGGTGTTACAGTGTGACACTCTACTGTAGTGTGAACGTTAACACACAATTACTCTTGCTTTTCTGCTGCTGTGTGCTAACGTGTGATGCGATGCGCTGCTATAATTAATAGGACCCGGGACTGAAGGGTCGCTGGGTGACAGTGTAACATGCATCATGATTGATACTGCAGGAAACTTAAGGCACGGGTCAGGGTAGGGTATTGCTGATGGGGTAACTGACCCTAAGGGCCACCACGCCCACCATGATGAATACAGCCGTGTGCATGGGGGGCGCAGGGTTAAGGCAGCTGATGGCGGAGTGGGATGCGTAAGGCGCTGTCGGAATCCGTTGGCACGGGCAGGGTGGGCGGGGCTGGTCCTTAGGGTAGGGTGCGGCAGGATCGGCAGGATCCTATAAAAGGACTTGAGCCACCTGCGCGGGGTGATGCGCACGCGCACATGTGCGCTCCGCATTGTTGGTGGAGTTATAGCGCTTCCCTCCGCCTGTGCGGTGCTGCGCCCTCGTGCGCGCTCCCCTCGGGCACAATCAGTGGCTCCTCTATTGGTCCCCAGCACCCAGGACTCGTGAGCCCCTCCCAGCTAAGGCTGGCGTCCAGCTGTGAACAGGGAGGTGGCTATCACTGTCGCCCAGGGGTTGGTGATGCGCGCTGAGGCCTTTCTCGAATTGCGCAGAGTCTTGGGCTTTCGGCCTGGATTGCTTCCTGGTTCTGCGAACCCGTTCCTCCCGTTACACCGAGTGGCCGGGGACCTTGAGGTCCTAGGTCCCAAAGGTTCCAGGGCACCTGGGCCCCAGAGCAGAGCGTGCTGGCCCCATGCGCCCCTGGTACAGAAGGCTGTCCCCAGGAGGGGTCCAGGGGCACCTGCCCCGGGCTCCAGGAGTGGCCTTCAGGGCATGGTGTCGCACTAGCCCTGCGGGGGGTCACGCTGGGGACCGTCCCCCAGAAGTCAGCTGAGTGCCAGGGACACCCACAAGTGAGGGGGAGGCCATGGGAGGCTGGGGGAGCCCCTCTAAACCTGGTCTGCTTGCCTGCAGAAGGACCTCCGGACCCCCGACGTGGTCATCGGGGCGGACACTATCGTGGTGAGTCCCCCCGGTTTGCCGAGCTGGGCGTCTGTCCTCTGCGGGTCCCACGCGCAGGGGCAGTGGGTGTTGCGCTGCTGTGGTTGGGCATGTGCCGTTTCCCAGGGCTGCAGGGACGGTGCCACCCCCAGGGCTTCCAGCGCAGACAGCTGCCACCGCGGTTCTGAGCCCGAGACTGCAAGGGCGTGGGCGGCGGTGGCGTCCCAGGCTGGGAGACCGCGGGGCCTGCCTCTCCATTCCTGCCTGGGGTCTTATTCTGCGGGAGACCCCACCAGCTCTGCAGGTGGGGTCATCCTGGTTCGGGATGGACACGTGGCCATGGTGGCCGCCCAGCGTGCTGCCCGTGCTAATGCCCTGAATTGTCACTCTGCACTGGTGAACCTCGAGTGTCAGTTTCGTGTCAATAAAAGAAATGGCACCCACCTGCGGCCCAAGCTGCCCAGGAGGCCAAGGCAGGGTCATGGCCAGCTCAAAGGCCGCTGGGCACCCAGCAGGACCGTCTCCCAGGGCTGGGTGGGGCTCCACGGGGGGAGCTCCCCTGGCATGGGGGAGGCCTGGCCTCCACCCCAGGGCCTGAGAGTTAGGGGCCGTGAGCGCTCGGGTGGCCGGGGAGCGGGCAGTGGGGAAGCCTCAGGTCCCTTTCTTGCAGGCAGTGGACGGGCTGGTTCTGGAGAAGCCCGTGGACAAGCAGGACGCCTACCACATGCTTTCAAGGTGGGCGCCGGTTCCCGCCCCCCCCCCCCCGGCCCCCTGGGCTGCAGGTCCAGCAGAGCAGGCCCCTGTGGGGTGGACGGGGCTGGGGGCCCTGCTGGCGGCCTCCTGGGGTGGTGATCCCTCCCGTCTACATGGCGCCCCTCAGATGTCATTGCATCAGGCCTTCCCCGGGGACCCCGTGGCTGGACGGTGCGGCAGCCTGGCAGGGGCGGGGCGGGGCACATCGCTGCCCCTTGGCCGCTAAGTGCCCAGCGGGCTCTGGGCCTCGCAGGTTGAGCGGCAAAGAGCACAGCGTGTTCACGGGAGTGGCCATCGTCCACTGCACCACCGCAGGTAAGGGGCAGCTGCCGCCTCCTGGGCACTGGGCGGGCGGCTGCATGTCCCTGCACGTGGGGAAGGGAGGACCCTGCCCACCGCCCGGGAAGGACTGGCCTGTGTGGAGAGTTGGGCGCCTTTGCACAGCGGTGTCCACCTCCCTGCAGGGCTCCGGGGGCTCCTTCTGCCTGTCCAGCTCCTGGGCTCCAGGTGGCCCTGGGCTGGTGGCCCCTCACTGCAGTCTCTGCCTCCGTCTCCACGGGGCTCCTCCTCTGGGTCTGTGTCCCCTCCTGTGTCTCTGGGGAGGACATGGCCATTGCATGAGGGCCCCCTGCCCCAGGAGGAGCCCATCTCGGGACCCTTCACTGATGACCTCTGCAGAGACCCTGTTCCCACACCAGGTCCCTTGGTGACCTGCAGAGCTGGGGGTGTGTCCCGCAGACCCCCAAGTTTCCCGCAGGCTGTGCTCTGGGCAATGCTGCCCACAGCCCGGGCCCTCATGGCCACTCCGGCTCCTGTCTGAGGGTCCCCAGGAGACCAGCCCTGTCCCCGTGGCCCTCCCCCTGCTGGCTCCGTGCCTGGTTGCTGACGCTCCTGTCCCTGCTCCTCCGTCCCCGCTGAGCCCCCCCCCCCCCCCGGCACAGTCAGCCCTGAGCCGCACACTCAGGCCGGGACCCAGGAGCGCAGCCATCACCGCGGCACCCAGGCGCCCGAGGTGGCCGTGGGCCTGACCTGTGGGTGTCGTCCTTGCAGACCGCCTGCTGGAGACGCAGGTCTCGGAGTTCTACGAGGAGACGAGGGTGACCTTCTCGGAGCTGTCCGAGGACCTGCTGTGGGAGTACATCCACAGCGGGGAGCCCATGTGAGTCCCGCCCGGGGAGGGGCAGCCCTGCTGGCGGGCACTGCAGGACGCTCCCTCCGGGGAGCTGGAGCGGGTCCCGGGAAGAGACCAGAGCCTGGCTCCGGCCGTCATGGCAGCCGGGCAGCGCCCAGGGGCTGGAGGCCCGGGCAGGAGTCCCCTCAGAGGAGACGCTTCTCATTAGTGACGGACACAGCCCCTTCCTGGCAGATGCTCCCTGAACTGAAATCCTCCTAACCCAAAAACGCCCTGAGCCGGGCACAGGGGCCACGCTGGACATCCCAGCAATGCTGGAGGCCGAGGCAGGAGGACAGCAATCTAGAGGCCAGCCTCGGCTACTTGGGGACACTCTGTCTGAAAGCAAACCATTAAGTGGAAGACGAGTGGGGTGCCCTCAGTGCAGCGCACCCCTGAATCGGCCCAGCAGGCACCACGTAGGCGATAAATGCAGTCACTAAACCGCCTCACACACCTGCCCCTGAGTAGGCTGAGGTCTTCAACGACAGCAAGAACCATGGGACAGAAAACCTGGCTGTGACCGTCCTGGGCCCCTCCGTGCGGTCCACCGTGTGTCGTGTGAAGCCATAAGAGGGCTCCTGAGCTTGGGGTGCACCTGAGGGTGAGGGAGGCAGACGTTTGGAAGACCCTAAACCAACCACTATGCCCGGGAGGAGACATTTTTTAATTTTGGGTGCTAGGGTCGAACCCAGGGTGCTTGGCCTCGGCGCCACCTCCCGGCCCTCTTTGTATTTTATTCTGAGACAGAGCCTCACCGAGTGCTGAGGCCGGCCTCTACCCTGGGATCCTCCTGCCTCGGCCTCCCTCCTGGCAGGGATTACAGGTGTGCACCAGCGCCCCTGGAAGGACGTTTGCCAAGAGGGTGATTCCTCATGGGGAAGAGGCCAGGGGCAGCAATGGCCCGGGTCGCTCTGGTCCTGTGTCTCACCAGTAGCGCCAGCTGGCCATCGGTGGGTCGCAGGACCCTGGGCTCCGGTCTGACCGCCCTCTCTCTCCGCGCATGCGCGCTCCTCCCCGCGCAGGGACAAGGCCGGGGGCTACGGCATCCAGTCGCTGGGGGGCATGCTGGTGGAGTCCGTCCGCGGGGACTTCCTCAACGTGGTGGGCTTCCCACTCAACCGCTTCTGCAAGCAGCTGGCCGAGCTGTACTACCCGCCCCGCGGCCAGGACGTGCGGAGGGTCAAGCACGACTCCATCCCGCCCGTGGACAGCTTCGAGACCCTCGGTGACCTGGACGCGGGCGACCCGGGACCTGTTCAGAGCCACGTGGACCCTGGCGCTGGCCCCGGCTCCCCGGGCAGCCTGAGGGGCGAGTCGGAGGCAGAAGGAGACCCGCCTGCCCGGGGCTCCAGCGAGGCCAGTTGCAACGGGGCGGTGGAGGCCCAGCCTCCGTTCCCGGCCGGCCTCCTGGACCTGATAGACGGCTTCAAAGTGTCCAAGGTAGCGTGGGCGAGCGGCCAGCTCCTTAAAGACGCGTCTTTAGTCACGTGCCAAGGTCCTGGGGTCGGGCCGCGGCAGGGAGCGCATCCCGCGGACGCTCGGGATCTCCATGCGAGAACCGAGTGGAGCGGTCGGAAGCGTCCAGCTCCAGGGGGGCGCGGGAGGAAGGCCCTGGGCAGCCCCAGCCCTCAGCGCGCCCTTCCCGCAGGCCCTGTTCACCGCCTGCAGGCTCAAGGTGTTCGACCTGCTCAGCGACGGCGCGCCCCGGGGGGCGGCGGACGTGGCCCGCGCCGTGGACGCCTCCGTGTGCGGGACCAGGAGGCTGCTGGAGGTCTGCGTGGCCCTGGGCTTGCTGCGGAAGACGGAGCAAGGTGACCGCCGGGGGCCTGGGGACCCTGGCCGGTGCCGGGTGGGGCTGGCAGGGGAGGCCGGACGGGCCCGGACGGGACTTAACTGGACCAGCCGAGCGCCCCGGGCAGATGAGGTCGGGAGGTGAGGGCCGGGCCGTGGCCCAGTCGGTCTCCGCGAGGCTGACCAGGAGGGACGGACACGCTGACAGACGGATGGCTCTACCTGGTTCCGCAGCTGGGTGGACGGATGGTGGGAAGGACAGTGGAGAGCGTGGACAGGCTGGGTGGCCGGCGGACGGACAGACAGATGACAGACAGCTGGGTGGACGGGTGCTAGGTGGAGACTGTCCTGCCCGCTGGGCTGCTCGGAGCAGCGGGCCGTGATCGGGTGGTGGCGCCGGCCCCCAGGGTCCACGCAGGCGGCGGGTGCTCGCTGGGCAGGGTGCGGTCACCCTGGACGCAGCGCCGCGGCCCGCTCTGCAGGTTACAGAAACACGGAGCTGGCCGGGCGGCACCTGGTGTCCGGCGGCGCGCGCTCCCTGCACGGCCTCATCCTGCACAGCGACCAGCGCACCTGGGACCTCTTCAGCCACCTGGAGCGCACCCTGCGGGAGGGACCGCGGCCGCACCGCGGGGCTCCCGGGGACCAGCAGGGACAGCCGGGGGACCAGGTGGTGAGCGCAGAGACTCCGCCCACCCAGGGCCAGGGGCGGGCCGGTGGGCACCCGGATGGCTCTGCCCACCGGACGGACAGGGGGGCCGCCAGGTTTGGGAGGTCGAGGGGCCTCACCAAGGACGCACAGGCCTGGCCCGGGCTCCTGATCCTGCGTGCTCGGCCGGTGCTCCTGGCTGGAACAGAGTGGGTGGCCAGGGCTCCCCGACGCCCAGCAGCACCCGAATTCCCCATTGAGGGACAGTCTGCGGGTCCCTGAAGTCACCACCCCTTTCTTTCCCTCCCACGCTGGCCAGTGCCCAGCCGCGGAGCCCAGCCCTTGTTGGGGGTCTGGCTAAATGCTTCGGGCCTCCCCAAGTTGTCCCTGCTGGCCTCCAGCTTGCAGACCTCCTGCCTCAGCCTCCCGGGTAGCTGGGATGGCAGATGTGAGCCACCGCACCTGGCAGCCCTTTTTATTTCTGAGACACGGTCTCCCAAGCTGCCCCGACTGACCTGCAGCTGGAGTCTCCCTGCCTCTGCCTCCCGGGCAGCTGGGATGAGGCCTGCGCTGCCTCCCCAGCCCAGCCCCCAAGCTCCCTGCCAGGGCCACGCAGGTGCCCAGATGGCTGTGGATCGCGGGGTCCGCAGTACCCTCAGACCCCGTTCTGCCCTAGGGCCCCCCCTGCCGGGAGACGCAGCTGCAGGCCCTGAAGGCGGCGCACACCCTCTCCTCGCTGACCGCCCGCCGCCTGGCCTCGGCCTTCGACCTGTCGCGGTTCTCCTCCGCCTGCCTCCTGGGAGGTGCGTCAGTCCCTTCCTCCTGCCCCGCACCTGGCGCTGATGAGACTGGCCGAGCAGGCCGCCCCTCCTGAGCCTCAGAGGACCTCAGCTGGGGGCCCAGGGCGGGTCCCTCGGGTGGCCGTCCAGAGGGGCGGAGGCTGGAAGCCCCTGACCAGGTCCGGTTCCTTCTAGTTAATCCTTTTCACTCCAGCCCATCTTGGCCCCTGGGCAGTGGGGGGAAGGAGCACATAGAGTCCCAAGGAGCCTGATGGGCTCAGGGAACTGGGCGGACTGCCTGGCCACCCGCCTGCATTTCCCCATCCTCTGCACCCAGCTCCTCCTGGGGGGCCAGAGTGGCTGCGGCAGCAGCAGCCATGGTGTCTGCATTCAAGGAGGAATCAGTGCCAGCCCCACTGACCTCCGCCAGGTGTAGTTTGCACTGCTGGCCTCAGTGCTCACCTCAAACACCCGTGGAAACCGTAGGGTCCCTAGGCCCCTAAGGGCCCACAGGGTCCGCACATGTGTGTTTGGTCCTCTGCAGGCTGCAGGGGCGCCCTGGCCTGGGAGCTGGCCCGGGAGTGCCCGCGGCTGGAGGTGACGGTGTTGGATGTCCCCGACGAGCTGGAGCAGGTGTCCTGCTTCCAGCCCCAGGGCGGACCGACGGCGCGCGTCAGCTTGGTGCCTGGTGAGTGCCCTCTGTCTGCCACCTGGTGACCTTGGCCAGGTGACATCCCCTTCTGTGCGGAGAGCACGCGTGTCTGTCCCCGGGTGTCTGTGACCTGGGAGTAAGGTGAGCGGTGTTGGACGCAGTAGTGGGGTGCAGAAGGACCAAGATGGACTTCTGCAGGTGTCCATTGGGACCCCCAGGAAAGGAAGGTCATAGGTTAGACTGCCACAAGCACTTCCCGGTGGTGCTGGGGATGTTGCTCTGGACCTGAGGAAGTCTCCTGATGGCCTGGGCACTGCTTAGTTCCCTCCCACGTGTCCACGAGAGGCGGCAGCCGGGGCCCAGGGCTCAGGCCCAGCAGGTCTTGGGACTTCAGTAACTGAGGAAAGGGCAGTGACCGCACACCTCTCCTGCAGACCGTCCGCCGCCCTCTGCCTCCTGCCTGCCGTCCCCCGCTGACTCGCGGTCCCTGCCCCTGCTGCCCTGGGCTGGTGGCCCCTCACTGCAGTCTCTGCCTCCGTCTCCACGGGGCTCCTCCTCTGGGTCTGTGTCCCCTCCTCTGTCTCTTGGGAGGACACGGCCACTGCACGAGGGCCCCCTGAGCCTGTCCACTGTGGCAGTGTGGGTCCACGCCGGTCCCCTTGGCCAAGCGCCCGTCCCCGTGTCCCCGCCCTGCCTTGGCTCTGCCTGGGCTGGAGCCCCCAGTGCAGCCTGGACGACCCTCCTGTCCCTCTCCCCCTGGGGACATGAGGTCTGGAGCCACCCTGGAGAGTCAGGCCGGTCTGTGGTCCCAGCTGCCTTTCTGCTTGTCCACCAGGTGACCCGTCCAGGGACGCCCTGCCCGCAGCTGACCTGTACATCCTGCCCCGCCTGCCGCCGGACTGGCCGGACGACAAGGTCCACCAGCTGCTGAGGAGGGTCGCAGGGTGCTGCCGGCCGGGTGAGAGCGGGTCCCCTTTCCCACCAGAGGGTCTGCGGCTGGAGCAGGGGTCATCCCACCCTGGGGTCCATTTCACAGGGGACAGGCGGCCACCCAGCCCTGCCTGACTCCAGGACGGTGGTGACATGGGTGACGAGGCTCTGAGGATTGTGTGTCCCAAAGCCACATGCTGTGCTCTGCTGTGGAGTGGCTGGGCTGGACACTGGGGTCCAGACCAGCCCTCCGTGGACAGGACAGGGGACACACTAGAGACCCCAGGGACAGAGGAGTGTCACCAAGAGCCCAGGATGTCACCTTGGCCTTTCAAAGGCTCAGCCCTGTCCCGGGGTCTGCCTGGGTGCACAGTGGCCCTGTGGCCGCAGCTGGCCCCTGGCCATGGCCCGTCCTGGGGCCGGGAGTCCTCTGCTGCGCAGCGGGCACCGCGGTTCCGGGTGACGCACAGCTGCTGCTTGGGCCTGTGCCCCGCGATCCGGGGTGTCCAGGGCTGGGAGCCTCCTGCAGTTACGGAGGAGAGGCCAGCGCTGGCCAGCGACACCTGTGGCCTCCTACCCTGGGCGCTCCCGGCGGCGGGGACGCCCCTGCCCCTCTTGTGCCCAGCTCTCCCCGCGGCTCCGGCCAGGACCCTGTGCTGTGGCCAGGCCCCGTCCCGTTCCCTCGTGCTGTCCACAGGTGGCCGCCCACTGACGTCCCGTGTCCAGTTTCCTCTCCCTGAGGGACACGAGCTCCAGCCCAGGCTGGCCCCGCCCACAAGGCCCCGCCCACGCACGGCCCCGCCCACCTGCCCCAGCGCTGCTGACCCTCCGCCTGCTGCCCGCGGCCTCCCCTCTCTCACTGCGTCCATCCTGTCCTCTCCTCTCCCCGCTGTGGCCGTCACGTGTCTCCCTATGTTAGGGACCCCTGTCACCTGTTAGGCCCGCGGCTGTCATTTCCGTCCCTGTCCATACCCATCCCTCCCACCGCGTCCCTCTGCCGTCCTCGGGATGCACCGTCCCTCTGTGTACCTGTCTCCTGTCGCCCCCACCTGTGTACAGCTGTCCCCGTCGCGGTCCCTGTCCATCTGTGGCTGTCTGCCTGTCGCTCCGTCCTTGCATGTGTTCTGTACCTTCCGCTGCCCCCGTCTGCCTCCTACCCTCGCCCCACCTGTCCCCCCTCCCGGGCCTGCGCCCTCCGTGTCCCCGCCGGCATCCTGTCCTGCTGACCCCGGGGCCCCGGTGGCGCTGCCCCGAGACTGCAGACCCCCGAGGTGGCCCACGACTCCAGCCCCTACCTGTCCCCACAGGAGGCGGCCTCTTGCTGGCGGAAGTTGCCCTGGACGAGGACCCGGGGGCCGCCCGGCGTGGCCTGAGGCCGAAGCTGGACCTGCTGGTGCAGACGCCGGGCAGGGACTGGACGCTGGGCGAGGGCCGGCGCCTGCTGGAGCAGCACGGCTTCGGGGACATGCAGGTGGCGCCCGCCGGGGACTTCCCGGGCGCAGTCCTGGGCATCCGCATGCGCCCCTGACGCCCCGCAGGGGCCTTTGTGTGGGCGTCGTGGTCCCGAGGCGGAGGGAGCCCGGGGTCCCCACGCCATCAGCTCAGTGGGCACGTGGGCGGGGCCTTGCGGGACGCGGAGAATAAAGCCACCTTCCTCCCTGCGCGCCCTGCTCGGAGCCCTGACCCGCCGCGCGCCTCCCAGGCCCGCCCTGCCTGAGAGCTCCTGCCCGCAGCGTTGACCGCGGACCTGCCCGCAGGCGGTGGCCAGTCTCCGCCAGGTGCTGACCCCGAGGCCTGGCCACGGAGCTCCGGGCACGGGGTAGAGCGCCCACCTGGCCTGGCGCCGGAAAGCCCAGCCCACGGCCAGCGGCGGAGCTCGTGGCTGGCTGGTGCCGGCCCTGTGTCCGCTGCCCCTTCCTCGGGCTGCCCCGTCTCCACTGCTGGCCGAGTGCAGTCCCCCGGCAGGGTCCCGCTCAGGGCCAGCACACCCCGTCCCAACGTCCCAACACGGCCGCCTGGGGAACCGCGCTGTGCGCACACCCTCGGGGGCTGGGCCGGCTCGGCCCGGGGTGTCCTCAGGATGCAGCCCGGAGACCCTGAGCGTGGCAGGAGGGGACACGAGAGCTCTCTGCCCTCCCAGCTGCGGGTGGGCCCTTTCCCGAGTGCAGAAGGAGCGGCTACTTGGAAAGCCAGGCCTGCTGACGCCGCCCACGGGGGGTAGCCCCCAGCCCGGCCAAGAGCCAGCGGCGCTCTCCCTCTGCAGACGGCTGCGGCTCGCAGTGACCTACTGGGCTTGCTACGGGGATGGAGGAAGGTCCCCCTGCCAGCCGGGCTACCTGCCCGCCCCCACGGTGACCAGGGAGAGCGCACCTGCCCGTTCTGGATCAGAACCACCGCGGGCGTTAGAGGCGCAGGTGACATAGACGCACAAGGGCACAAACACCGTGCCCGTGTTTACAGGAGTGAGTGTGGACTTGTGCAAGACCGTCCTCTGCTGACCACGTCCCTCTTAACACCTTTCAAATGCATGATGGACGCCTGGCTTCGAAGACTCTGGCCTCTTCTAGCTGCTAGCCCTCAGGCAGGTGGCACTGGGACAGGACGGCCCCACCCTGCAGAAGTTTCCAGGCACCGGGGAGCAGACTGGCCACCTAGGTCCCCTGCAAAGGCCGCTCCAGGCTGTGAGGAGGGCGCAGGTCAGAGAGGAAGGGCCGAGGCCCACGTGGGGCCCTCTGTGGAGACATCTCTGTCACAGAGGCCACCGCTCTGTCCCAGGGGCCACCCATGCCCCACGCCATGCTACCTGCTGGGAGCCTGCTGCAGGCCCGAGGCCCAGGAGTGACCCCTGGACCCCGCATCCCTCTCCACCGCTGCCCTGCGCGAGGACCCACAGAGGCCAGCGGCAGGTGTCCGCCTCCTGCTGCCCTGCAGGCGCACTTCCCACGGTGACCAGACCCCTCACAGCTGAGGGACACTGTCCTTGATGCGTTCCTCCCACAGACACTGCCCAGCGCCCCCGGGGCACCAGCCGCAGGCAACCCTGGCCTCCAGGCCGGGAAGAGACCCTGGAACCACAGGGAGGGTCCCCCGGGCTCCTGGACCACCCTTCCCTGTGTGTCCCCTGGAAGGGATTAAAGAGACGTGGAGAAACTGCCCACAGGCCACTGTCCGCACTTGTGGGAGCACTTTCTAGACCACCTGCTGCGGTGGGCGAGGTCCCTGCACGCGTCCCTGTGCAGTGGCTTCCGGGATCCACACCAGCAGGGTCCTCGAGGGCAGGGGTCAGCGCAGGTCCCCACAGGGCAGCACCCTGCCCTTCCTTGGAAGTCACTCCCTCCCTCAGGGAGGCACTGAGCGCCTGCTGCATACCAGAGCTGCCTGTGAGATCAGCTCTGGATAAGCACCGTCCACCGGCTTTACCTGGGCGCTGGGAGGACACAGATCAAGGACAACCAACATCTGAGGGGACAGCTGCTCCACCAGCCCCCCACGGACCTTCTGGGGGATAGTGGGTTTCTAGGGACCCGTTTCCCCAGCTGCCCTTGGTGGGGGTCCCAGCCCTGGGGGTAGGTCTGCCTGGCCCCTCCTCCGTGTCCCCACTCCCCCAGGGCACACCCTTGAAGGCACAGGATGCCCTTGTGGACACAGGGGTGAGTGGCTCCCAGAGCGGGATCAGGAAGCACATTCCAGGAGCCAGGCCTGACCGACACTAACCAGAGGGATCTGGATCTCAGGTGGCAGCTGGCCTGAGGGCTACGGTCCCTCCCAGCCCCGTCAGGCCCATTCTGTAACCTGGGCCTAAATGTCTGTGAGACCTGGCCTCCCTGGCCCCCTGCTCAGAGCCCCCAGAGGGAGCCTGGCCAACCCATGGGGACCTTCTCGCCCCTGTCCACCCTGCACGTCCACCCACGGCAGCAGAACAGGCCCAGGGACAGGAGAGAGGGAGCGAGCAAGGGAACAGGGAGAGGAGAGGGGTCCGGCCGGGGTAGGCCTGGCCAGCGCGGGTCCAGCATGCACGAGGCCCTGAGCTCCCGTGAGGGAGGGACACAGAGAGATGAAGGCAGCAGAGCAGAGGGACGTGGGAGGAAGGGAAGAAAGGCAGGCAGGGGTGGACGGAGTGCGGGGGCGGCCTGGGGACCCTCGTGTGAGGCACGGGGGGGACAGACCGGCTGTCACGGCCAGAGCTCCTCCCCCGGGTCAGCAGCTCCCAGGGTGGAAGCGCGAGGTGGGAACACAGGGCACGCGGAGGCCGAGGGCACCACGGCGGGGACACCCCAGGTCCCCCGGGGACAGAGGTCAGGGAGGGGCTCCAGGACCCGCAGGTGGACTCAGGATGGGGCTGAGGTTAGGCACGCACAGGGGCAAGGGGACAGGTGTCGGGTCTGGGGGCGACAGGGGCAAGGTCGGGGCACCACGTGTCGCGAGCACAGACATCGAGAGAAGCGGGACACACGTCCTGTCGGGGTGGACTGGGCCTCGCGGCAGGACTGCAGGCTGCACGGCCCCCCCAAGGGAGTGACACCTCCGGACCACGCCTCGACCTTGTCAAGGTCACGGCCACCGCCGCAGAGCCCCCGGCCCGCCAGGCGCAGAGGCGGGGCCCGGCTCCCGACAGGCCTCGGGGCGGGGCGGCCTATGGGCCCACGGCCAGGGGCGCAGGGCGGGGCGGGGCTCCCGGCAGCCCGCGGGGGCGCGGCAGCGCGCGGGGGCGGGACGTAGGCGGGCGGCGCGGCCAATGGGTGCAGCGCGCGGGCCGCGGGGCGGGGCGCGGGCCGGCGGCACAGCCAATGGGCGCGGCGCGCGGGCCGCGGGGCGGGGCGTGGGCGGGGCGTGGCGGCCTTAGCGGCTGCGCGCTGGCGACCCCGTCCTTTCGGTCCCGGTGGCGGCAGCGCTGAGCTAGCGGCGGCCTTCCTCCGGCTCTCGGCGCCCGCGCTCCGGCTCTCCGCCCGCTCCGCTGACCCCGCGCCACCATGACGGAACAGGCCATCTCCTTCGCCAAGGACTTCCTGGCCGGGGGCATCGCCGCCGCCATCTCCAAGACGGCCGTGGCCCCCATCGAGCGGGTCAAGCTGCTGCTGCAGGTGGGCGCGCGGCCGGCTGGGCCGCGGGGGGCCGGGGAGCGCGGCCGGCTGGGCCGCGTGCACCCGGCCGGCGGGCGGGCAGGCAGGCAGGCGCCGGAAGTCGGAGGCCGTGGACGCTTTGTCCGCGCTGCGCCGACTTCCGGGGGCTTGGCCACAGGGGCGCTGCCGCATTTCAGGGGCGGGGACTCTGCGCCTGCGCATTCGGCCCAGCGCCCTGGGGGCTGCGGCGCGGCCTGTCAGGCGCATGCGCGCCGGCGTAGCTGCGCGGACCGGCCTAGTGCTTGTGACCTTGAGCGGGTCACGGGGACCCGGTGGGCTTGGACAGTGGCCTTGGGCTGCCTCCAGGCTTGCATCTCGCAGTGCGACCCTTCCCGTTACCAGTGCACAATGGCCAGCGACCCCAGGCTCCAGACACTGGACGTTGGGCCTGGTCTGAGTTTTCACAGTGCACCGTGTAGCTAGCCATAAGCCCCGGTGAGCTGTGCGCCCTTGAGGGTGTCCCACTGAGTAGCCCAGGGGTTGGCAACACTGTCGCTAGGACCGGGTTGCAGTGAAACATTGCGACCAGAGTTGGCCTGATAAGCACTTAGGACCCACAGAGGGGCTGGTCAGTTTTCCCAGGACACGTGCTGTGCGCGCAGGTGGGCCAGGTGCGCAGTGCCCTCCTCTGACCTCCGCCCTGGGCCTCCCCGCAGGTGCAACATGCCAGCAAGCAGATCGCGGCCGACAAGCAGTACAAGGGCATCGTGGACTGCGTCGTCCGCATCCCCAAGGAGCAGGGCGTGCTGTCCTTCTGGAGGGGCAACCTGGCCAACGTCATCCGCTACTTCCCCACGCAAGCCCTCAACTTCGCCTTCAAGGACAAGTACAAGCAGGTCTTCCTGGGCGGCGTGGACAAGCACACGCAGTTCTGGAGGTACTTCGCCGGCAACCTGGCCTCCGGGGGCGCGGCCGGGGCCACCTCCCTCTGCTTCGTCTACCCGCTGGACTTCGCCAGGACCCGCCTGGCGGCCGACGTGGGCAAGTCGGGCGCGGAGCGCGAGTTCAAGGGCCTAGGCGACTGCCTGGTGAAGATCACCAAGTCGGACGGCCTCCGCGGCCTGTACCAGGGCTTCAACGTGTCGGTGCAGGGCATCATCATCTACCGGGCGGCCTACTTCGGGGTCTACGACACGGCCAAGGGTGAGTGAGGCTGGAGGCCGGCAGCCTCCCCCCGGCCTCTGAGCTGGCCTCCGCTTGGGCAGGGCAGGACCCTGGGCGGGGGCTTCACAGTCTTGTGTCCTGACTGACCTCACCTGCCCTCTCTAGACCTGTGACAATGTGCAGTCACCTTCTCAGGCCCTGGGGTCAGGACTGGAGCCTGCTGTCCCTCACCTGGACGGCTCCTTCCCCTGCAGAGTGGCCACTCTGGGCCCTGGCCTCCAGCCTCTGGGGCGGCGGGGCCATGGGCAAGTCTGTCTGGACCTCGAGCTGAGGGAGGGTCGCCTGTCCCTGGGGTTTCCCTGGAGGGAGCGGGGGCAGCGGGGCTGACCCTGGCCTGCGCGTCCACAGGCATGCTGCCCGACCCCAAGAACACGCACATCGTGATCAGCTGGATGATCGCGCAGACCGTCACGGCGGTGGCCGGCGTGGTCTCCTACCCCTTCGACACGGTGCGGCGGCGCATGATGATGCAGTCCGGGCGTAAAACAGGTACTGACCCGGGCCTGGGGGGCGGGCGGGGGCTGCCCGGGTCCAGGCCGCCTGCAGGGGGTCCCGAGGCACAGGCTTCTGTCCCCGCGGCAGTCTGCACGTCCAGGGAGCCGTGGTCCTGCGGGGGGACTCGGCTGACCCTGCAGGGGAAGCCCGCGGGCACCTGGCAGGCAGCAGGGTCTCTGGTCAGAGCTCCGGCTGCAGTGACCACGTCAGGCTGCCCCTGCTCTGAGGTCCCCGGGGTGGGTGGCGGCCGCCCTGTCCTTCCTGACCGCCCCTGTCCCCGCAGCGGACATCATGTACACGGGGACCGTGGACTGCTGGAGGAAGATCTTCCGGGACGAGGGCGGCAAGGCCTTCTTCAAGGGCGCCTGGTCCAACGTCCTGCGGGGCATGGGCGGCGCGTTCGTGCTGGTGCTCTACGACGAGCTCAAGAAGGTCATCTAGGCCCGGAGCGTCGGCGCCGGGGCCGCCCGCCGGGGACCAGAGGGTGGGAGCACCCAACGCTGGGGACCATGGACCTTCCAGAAATTCCCGTCTGTCCTGGCCAGGGTGTCTGTCGGGGCTGGGCGCTGAGGGACTCATGGTGACCTGTGACCACGGACACCCCGCTCCACACGCTGGTGCCGGGCGTCCTGACCGTGTCCTGCGGGCCCTGGGCAGGCCCCCAGGCAGACCCCGAGTCCAGAGCTTGTAGGGCCCGCCTGAGTATTTATTTAACAGAATCGTGTCCACTCCCCAAGCACTAGCCGCTGCGCACAGCGAGTCCGCAATCATGTTCCCTGTGGCACCTGCCGAGAAATAAACAGGACACCACGGCCGCGCAGCCTGCCTGGGCCTGGGGGGGTCCGCGGGTCAGCAGGACGCTGGCCGGGGCAGAGGGTCAGCCCTGGGAAGGACAGGCTTCTGGAGAGTGGCCTCCTATCGGGGGGAGCAGCTGCGGCTCTGGAAGCCCGAGGTCCAGGGTCACTGGGGCTGCTCCTGCCCCCAGAGGAGCCTTCTCCTGGGTCCTCCATGGTGGACGGGCAGGGGGCTCTCGGGTCTCGCTGGTGAGGACCCTCGTCCCCTTCATGGGCTGCTCCTGGGAGTCAGCCCTCCCAGAGCCCCCCCACAGCAGGCCTGGGGGTCCTGGTGTCCTTGACGTGTCCTGGGATGAGGGAGTGCTGGGGCCCGGAGGTGACCCATGAGCTTGGCCTAGTCCAGCCGCAGGGGGGATCACCTGGGGCCTCAGGGTCCTAGGAGCCGCCCTCAGCGCAGGCCCAGGTGGAGGTGTGCGCCCAGTGTCAGGTGTGGGTCACTTGGCCGGTGTCCCTCCCTCCCGCAGCTCCCGGGGTAACCTGACCCTGAGCCCCAGCTGGCCACCGGGTCCCCGATAGCGCCAGCTTGGACCTGACACTGCACCCTGCTGACTCCTGGAGCCCAGCTGGATTACTTCCCTGGGCCCCGGGGGCCACTGTCCCAGGAGGACAGTCTGCAGGTCCCTGCTTCCTGCCTCTGCAGGGGCTTGTCACAGCCCTGGTGTCCCTCAGCGTTTTTGTCTCCTTGTCAAGGACAGCCCCAAGCTGAGCTGGAGGACAGTGGGTGACCCCAGGGCCATTTCCTGGGAACTCATTCCTTGTGGAGGTCACTGTCCTGTGGGGTCAGTGCTTAGGGGGCACTTGGTGGAGTCACTCCCGGGCTCTGGGCCCGCAGACTGGGAGTCCTGTCCGGCCTCCAGTAGTGACCACCTGCAGTCAGTGGGGACAGGCAGGCCTTGGGGGAGGGGTACCTAAAACCCAGCTGCAGTGACAGGAGATAGGGATCCCTCCGCAGGGGACGGGCGCGGCCAGTCCCGCTGGTCCTTGGGCGGAGCGGCGGCCTGGGTGGCGCAGGTCCCCTGAGGGCCAATGAGCAGCCGGGACACCAGGTGGAGGTGGACCCGATGCTCGGGTTTTATTCTCAGGCAGGGTGGGCTCCGCATGTCCATCTCCTGTCCCTCCCTTGGCACTGTCCACTGGTCCTGCGGGCTGGCCTGTGGCCGCCCTGCAATGTGACAGCCCGCCAGCTCCTGCGCTGGGCCATCAGGGCTCCTCCAAGTCCTGCACCTGGGCCACTGGACAGTCGTCTCCCGCGGCCTCCAGGGCCAGCTGTGGGGATGGGCAGGCTGTTAGGGACCCCCGAGGCCATGCTGCCTATTGGGCAGGGCAGTGGCCACCCCACGTCCGACGACATACCATCTCGCCATTGGGCACGTGGTCACAGACGGTCGCTTTCACGCGGGGGACAGGAGGAAACAGCCTCTGCATCAGGGAGAACCTGGGAGGAGAGGGACACCGGGCTCAGAGGCCACCACCGCAGGCAGGGCCCAGGGGGCGGGGGCTCCGCGGAGACGACCCTGAGGTCACTCCCTGGGGAAGCGTCTCCTCACCGCCACCTCCTGGGACACAGGACTCGCCAGAAGCTGACCACCCAGCAGGGCCTCCCTCGACCCCGGCGAGCCCCCTCCCACCCGGGGACACCCGCGGCAGCTTCTCCCGTGACCCCACGCCCAGCCCTGAGCGCGGGTCTGCAGACGGGGGCCGGGGTGGCCTCGGCTGGTCACTTGGGATTCAAAGTGCAGACTCCTGACCTGATCCTGCAGCCGGACCCCAGCTGTCCCTCCAGGCTAGCGCTCCCTCCCAGGACCCTCCCCTGCCTGCAGCAGGTGGCCACGAGTGAAGGGGACATGGAGGGGCTGGACCAGGCGGGGACCGGAACCCAGTCTGTGGTTGCGATGTGGCTCCTCCCCTCGGGAACGTGGCGTCCGCTGACCCGTGAGGCCTGGGAACCCGGCTTCCCCGAGGGACCCGATGGCCTTAACCAGGGTCCCCTACTTGGAGCCCACATGGGCCTGGGGACCCGGCCACACGCGGTGAAGACTGGACGCGGGATGCGCCTGGATCCGGGAGGAGCCTGCAGGGCCCCGGGTGCTGGGGTCCCCCCCCAGCGACGGGCGGGGGGGGCGCCTACCGTTTGCAGAGGAACAGCCCCAGCAGCGCGATGGCCAGCGTCCCCGCCGTGGCCAGCAGAGACGTCTGCAAGATGCGCGAGGGCCGGTCCTCATCAGGGTCACACTCTGAGCGAAAGGGGACAGCAGGGCTCAGGTCCGGGGCTGCCCCATGGCCCAGGAGGGGCTCCAAGGGGAGGGGGCGGCAGCCCTCCCGGCCTCCCCGCCTCCCCGCCACGCCCCGCGGTCACTGGAGGCCAGGCCGGACAGCCCAGGGCTCCCTGGAAACCGGCCGCCCTCTGGACAGCGTGGGGGTCACTAGAGGGGACTCCTGCCCCTTGACACTAGTGCTGGTGCGTCCAGCTGGCCTGGCCGGGCCCTCCTGGTGGGCGGAGGCTGAGAGGCCACGGGCAGCACGTGCCAGCCCCGCTGCCCCCCTGGACTACAGGGTCCAGGAGGCCGCCCTCAGCAGCCTGCGGTCACCACGCACAGGCCCGCTCCCGAAAGCCACCCGGGAGCCCGAGGTCGCCTCCTCTAGAGAGCGCCGCTTCGGAGGCTGCAGGAGGGCGCGCAGGGCAGGGAGAAGAGGCAGCCACGTCCGTGGCCACAGACGACCCACTGCCCGCGCCCCGAGGCCCCGCGTCCCCACCTTCCCTCCCAGCCTGGGCCAGGGTGAGGCGCGGGGGGCCTCAGGGGCGGGTCCTCCTGGGGCACGAGGGGGCGGGGCGGGGTCCCCTCCTTGAGCAGTGACCAAAGCCACCCTCAGACTCCACGTGGCAGGCCTGCCGGGCGCTGGGCTTGCGCATGCCCTGGGGGACCCGGGAGGCCGCCCACTCACGGAAGCTCTGGGGGGCGCCCCACGGGCTCCAGCTGCTGTAGAAGTTCCTGTTGTCCTTGACCCTGATCTTCACCTTGTAGTTGCCGGGATTGGGCAGCAGGAAGTGGTTCGTGGGAATCTGGGGGAGGGGAGGGGAGGGGAAAGAGACTCCGACGTCCACTCCCAGGGCCTGGGGAGAGCAGAGGGCCCCGGGACGGCTGAGTTGTGTCCCCTGGATCTCTTGATTTGGGGACGAAAGCAAACTTTGCAAGATTCTCCTTGAGGGTCTGTGGTGCCCACGCGTGGAGCCCGTCCAGTGGGGGCCACGGGACAGTAATGACAGGAACCATCTCGCCCTTGGAAGTGCCCAGTTCCGTGGGGAAGAGGGGCCGGGTCCACTCACCGTCTCATTGAAGCTGCCTCCTGAGCTCTGCAAGATAAAAGGCGAGGACTCCTGAGAGAGGCCCCAGCCACCGCGGGCGACCTCAACTTCCCCCAGGGGCCACCAAAGCAGACAGGAGGATGCTGGGACAAGGGGTGGCACGCCGAGCCCTGAGCTTGGCATCATGGGCCATGGTGCAGGGCTCTTGGGCACCCATGACCAGGAGCCGATAAGTGACTAAGTGACAGGTCCGTGTGTTTCCTAAGTGATACTTTTCATCATCACACACATGTCACTTTCCATACGTGTACGCTGGTTCTGGGAATTGAGCCCAGGACAGCTATGCTAATGAGCCACGGAGCCGCTTCCCATTTTAACTGTTACTTTGAGACCGGGTCTCGCTGAGTGGCTCAGGACCCTGCTAAGTCGCTGAGGCTGGCCTCCATCTGGCCATCCTCCTGTGTCAGCCTCCCCAGTATCTGGGAAGAGAGGCGTGCACCCTTGCTCACATCCATCACACCTTTGTGTCCTGTCTGCGGAGACTCTGCCTTCCCCCCGAGGACGGGGAAGAGAGCCCAGGTGACAGAGATGCCGAGATCCCCAGTGGGGGCCAGTTCACCTTGTTTACTTGGAGTTGATACTTGAAGTTCTTATTGAAGTGGCTGAACATCCTCCACTCCATGAGCGAGGACGTCTTGTTGCACTTGGCAGTGATGTTGGGTGGACTGAGTCTCTCTACGGAGGGGAGAATCCATTAGGAAAGCAATGGGAACACCTTTGATTTCTCTCAAATTATTTTACATACGACGCATAAATATGGGGATGGGGAAAAGAGAAGGAGGAGGAGATGGAGATGGAGGAGGAGAAGGAAGAGGCGAAGGAGGAGGAGATGGAGGATGAGATGGAGGAGGAGGAGGAGAAGGAAGAGGAGGAGGAGGAGATGGAGGAGGAGGAGGAGGAGATGAAGGAGGAGGAGGAGGAGGAGA